TGGTCGCCATGATGTAGAAAAGATGTGGAGACTCTAGAAAGAATGCAGAGAAGAGCAACAAAGCTAATTAGGGGAATGGAGACTAAAACATATGAAGAATGGTTGCAAGAACTGGGTATGTTTAGTTTAATGAAAAGAAGGACTATGGAGACATGATAGCCGTGTTCCAATTTCTCAGGGATTGCCACAAAAAAGAGGGAGTCAAACTATTCTCCAAGGCATCTGAGGGTAGAACAAGAAGCAATGGGTGGAAACTGATCAAGGAGAGAAGCAACTTAGAACTGAGGAGAAATTTCCTGAAAGAACAATTAATCAGTGCAACAGTTTGCCTCCAGAAGTTGTGAATGTCCCAACACAGGAAGCCTTTAAGAAGATGTTGGATACCCATTTGTCTGAAACGGTATAGGTTTCCTGCCTAGGCAGGGGGTTGAACTAGAAGACCTCCAAGGTCCCTTCCAACTCTGCTACTGTATTGTATATTTGATGCATTTATAAACAAACTCTGAAATTTAAGAAGTAGCAAAATACAAAAATTAATAACAGTATTAAAAAAAAATCTTTAAATAGTTTTTCCCTTTCTGTCACAGTCAACGAACACACAACTTTTCAAAACATTAGCATTAGCCTGCAGGAATCAAAGTGAGACTACATAACGAGGACTTAAATAAGACTGCATGTTGGATGAAGTATAAATGAAAATTATACTTTGGTTTGTCTTGAATCAGTGATTGTTTTTTCAGGTTTCCAAAATATTTACTTTCAAATTAGTCTATTTATTACCTCAGAAGGAGACAAATGCATAATGCATTAGTAACACTTAGTATACCCTTGCAACACTTTCCTGTGCTTTGGAGTAGAATATGTGACATTAATTTTAGTTGTTAGATATGCAAAATATGTCTGAAAAATACATATGTATCCAACAAGGATAACGTGAACTGATTAACATTAATTAAAGAACTCTACAGATTAAAAATTAGGATTTTGGTTACATTATACTGTTATTGTACAGCATGATTATTTACCAGACTAGGCTCTTTTTTTATCAGTTGGGTTCAAACAAGGTGAAACATTGCAAAGTCCTTTTGATGATAATGAACTTGCTTAAAATTCTGTTATTGATATAATTAAGTATTAACATCCAGATCCTTAGCACCTGGCCCTTTGTGAAGGGCTATACATAATTAAATATAACTTGGTTACAGGAAGAAGGTGCTATGGCACCCACATTGTGGAATTAATTTCACCTGAGATTAGGTTAGTCCTGACTGTACTGGCCATTTGCAAGACCCTAAAAACTTAGTTTTCTGGCTGGGCTGGAGCTTAATAAAGCCTGTCACTTGGTTTTATTGATAGTTATTTAAGAAACTCAACTGCTATGTGTTTTTTAAAATTTTATATTAAGAATTTTAATATACTATTTATATTTTTAATCTATTTTATTGTAAGCTGTCAAGAATCATTTATGTGAGATAGCCATTTACACCAATCAAATAAATTAATAAACAATACAAAAATGACTTATGTGAACATGCTGCCCAAAGAATTGGTTCCTAGATTCTAGAAATTTCAACAAACTAATCTCGTAAATTGTCTCAAAGCCATTCTTAAAAAAAGGAATGCTATTAAAATCAATTTGCAAACATCAACATTTTTCTACCTGGTCTCAAGTGGCACATTGCTATTCAGAACCCAGCTGTCCTGTAACTGAACAGATTCAGGAGTGGTGGCCAAATCATTTGGTGCAGGAGCTGGTGCATGGATCTGGTTCCGCCGATTTGTTAAGGAATTCCTGTTGAGGGAGTTGGCAGAAGAATGGTGATGAGATAGAGTATGATTGTGAGGTGGTGGAAGAGGTGGTCTCAGAGTTGACTGGCTGTGATGATTTGAAGGCCCTAGAAAGAAAAAAAGATAAAGAGGAAATATCTCTGAATTATCCAATCTTCTAAAAAAACAACTAATCCTAAACCTTTAGGTCAAAACTACATTCTACTTACCACATAAGTAGGCTTAGAACTGCATTTCAAAAGAAATAGATCAATTCCAGCATTTGTAAATTTGAGCCTTAAATCAATAGCTGTCATATAATTTGTTATGTAATCATTTCCTCCTTGTATTAGAAATGAATTATTTCCTTAAACATGTTCCAACGTTACAAAAGAGTTAAGAAATTTATCAACTTGTGAATTAGTTACATGCCAGTCCTGAGGATGTTTGAATCTGTTAATTTCCTAAATACATGACTGTTTAGAAATGTAAAGTTTACTCCATGACAAACGAAAGGAAGACATAAATATACTAAATAAAACAAAGCATATCATACAGGTATTAGAGGGAAATAAACAGAAGTTAATAAGCTTACAAAATGTGTTAATAGTATATTTTCTATCAACCAAGATGAATAATTAGATAATGTTATTATGTTCATATACTCCTATATTATTTCATTCTAAAAATGAATTAAAAGACAACATAAGAAAAAAAACACCAAGCATAACAGACAAGTGAAATATTAATTGTATATTTAATCATTATACTAACTTGTAATTTATATAGAGAGCAATAATTAGAAAAAAAACAACATTAGCAAATGACAATTAGAATGATATATGTTTGAGAAACTTGAAGATACATTTTCTATTTAATGAATCTAACAGTGACAAAAAATGTCAACTTAGGAAAGTGTTCATAAATTGATCTATACTCCTGTGGAACAATAGGAATATGCATCCATAGACTATTCTAAAAATGTGAATGTATATAGTTAAATATGTAATGGTCTATTTAAAACCAGAATAAACAATCTGGTAGGTAACCAAATGAAAACTTAAATTTATTTTTAATCACATCTATTGCAAATCTATCTGGATCAAATTTGCAAGTTGAAAGTTCAGATTTTATTTTTATGAGTCCCTGCTGAATTTCTTCCTCCCCCAAAAAAACTTCAGTACAGAACTTCTCAAAGGACCAAATTCTATAATTTTGTGAGAGGAACTACAATTTCATACAATCCATAAGTTGTTCCAAATGGATAAAATCTGAATTGGGGAAATGTTTTTTTTTTTTTTAAATTTGTCAATAACCATCAGAATAGAATAGCAAAAGCACCCTTGCATCAAAACAAATATATGTCTAAAGGGGCCATCTTTCCCCTTTGTTTCAATCTTCCTATTTGTTCCTCCTTATAAAGTGAACTATCTTATCAGAATCCAAGGGAAAAAAATAATCTTGCAAACTGGTGGAGGAAAATTCTGCATGTGTGGAGCTTTACAATAGCTGGTAAGAGAATTACATTAATTTACTGTATAGACATTTACTAGGATCTAAACTAGTGGTGGGATTCAGCCAGTTCAGGCGAACCGGTTGTTAAATTGGCTGCCCCTGCCCTTTCCTGCCCCACCCTTTCCAGAGTGCAGGGAAGCCTACTAGGGCCAAATGGGGCATGGAGGGGTGTGGCGTTCTCCCCATGGCCTGTTTTTGCTCCCAGGGGGGTGCAGGAGGCAAGGGCTACCTATCACACCCCATGGCCATGCCCACCAGGGCCACGCCCACCCAGCCAGTCATTAGGTCAGAGAACTTGTTGTTAAATCATTTGAATCCCACCACTGACTAAACCACTGTGCCAATTTGTATCCAAGGAAGATGAAAGCAAGAGTGAGAAGGATTGACTTCAAGATCCCTAGATAAAAGTATGCCTTGTGGTAAAACTACATTTATTTCTACAGCAAATTTGAGTAAGAAATGTCAGAAAAAGTATTATTCACAGGTTTCATTCATTGAGTAGAGAATACATACACACACACACATAAACCCAACATTTAGAGGAGTATAGTGTAAGAGGACCTTCTGTTTTCAATCATATTATATTCTCCAATCTGAAGAAGAAGCAATAAAATACAAATCTATCAGCATCACCAGGGAATGGAGTTTAGAATATGTCCTGATGAAATAAAGCTATAGTGCTTTAAATCTTTTGGTAGCTTGACCTCATAAGTGACAAAGCGGATTAAGACATAAAGACAAAAAGAACCAGATAAATTCTTATTTACAGTATGACTAATCTCATAAGAAATACAAAAAGTTGTGTTACAGAAAGATAGGTTTTTACAAAGTAATTATAGTGAAAATGTGTTCTGTTCTCTTAAAAGTCCCAAATTTCCTCACAGTGCCATACAGAATATTTAGTCTTGCAGAATGGTGGGGGAAAAAACATATTTTAAAAGGTAAAAAGAGGTCCAGGGTATGTTTAAAATAAATACTACTTTAACTAAATAGATGCCTTTTGAAATATACTCTTTAAGGGAAAAAAGAACGTAGCCAAAATGTTTCTGAAATCATCCTTTAACTTTCTTGTCTATGGGCCCATCAAAACTAAAATGTATTTTGGGATTCCCAATGACATAAGCAAATTTTTTATTCATTTTTATTTCACTGTGAAACATGAATAAAAGTAAAAGTTCCCCTTGCACATATGTGCTAGTCGTTCTCAACTCTAGGGGGTGATGGTTATCTCCGTTTCAAAGCTGAAGAGCAAGCATTGTCTGAAAACGTCTCCATGGTCATGTGGCTGGTATGACTAAATGCCGAAGGCACACAGAACGCTGTTACCTTCACACCAAAGGTGGTGTGAACGCTGTTACCTTCACACCAAAGGTGGTTCCTATTTTTCTACTTGCAATTTTTCATGCTTTCGAACTGCTAAATTGGCAGAAGTTGGGACAAGCAACAGGAGCTCACTCCATTACATAGCACTAGGTATTCAAACCACTGAACTGCCGACCTTTCTGATCGACAAGCTCAGCATCTTAGCCACTGAGCCACAACATCTCTGAACATTTACAGAGTTTTAAACTGTCCTTTAGATAATCAAGTATAACCTCCTGCTCATTGCAAGCACCCACAGTGAAGCACCTCTGATAGATGATTCTTCATTCTGTAGTGGAATACATACAGAAAAAGATCAACCCAGCTATAGAAAGAAAATCTCCATATGTATTGTTATTGTAGTTGCTTCTTAATAATGTTGTGCAAAGTAAAGCCAATATTGAGAGATCAATTTTAGATTACAAACATTTCTAAGACTTTGGAATTGTTGCTGCTCTCTGAACCTGATTGTTTGTTTTCAGATGTTTCATTACTCAATGACATAACATCACCAGTGTGAGTGAGAGGGGGATTCCATAAGATTACAAATGCCATTTTATTAAGGCTTATAATCAAAATAAAGCTATTTGAAGATTACAGAAAGCAGCATAAAGTAGCATAAAATAAAATTCTCAAAAGTATTATTAAAATTAAAAAAAATTATTAATATTAAATAAAAGAAGATACTTCTGATTCTTTCCCTTACATATACACCACTCTGTGCAACTTTCTTAAAATATGTATCTTTGAATGTAAGTATTGTAGCATACATAATTTTCTTCTAAATATACATTTTTCTACAAACTCTACAAATTATTTCTTTAAATGCATGCATATCTATATGATTTCCTGACATTTTTATATATGCTATACTAATTAAACATTGACAATTAGAGAATAGCAGATTACTAATTACTAATTATTCCCAAATAGTAGCAGATTCCATGAATTGAGATTCTCTATGCCATGGGTGTCAAATTCGATTTCATTGAGAGCCACATCAGGATTATGTTTGACCTCAGGGGACGGGGATGGGAGTGGCCAGGGTGGGCACAGCCAGCTCAATGTCATTCATCAAGGCTCCATTTTCAGCCATGATGGCATCCTGTAGCTCTTTGCCACTGAAAATGGAGTTCAGGGAGGCTGCACATGGCCTGCCTGGGTTCCGTTCTTGCTGGCAGAGCCACAGTGGGCCAGTCCTTCACTGTTTCCAGGGCAGGTCCATGCAGATCTAAGCACCCTGTGGGCCGAATCTGGCCCATGGGCCTTGAGTCTGACACCCCTGCTCTATGCCATAATTGATTCCATTTTTGTGGATTGTACAGTATTTCATTTTTTCCCTCCTTAAAATTCCTGAAATACTTCCATTTCAGGCATTTGAATATTTGGGGGAGGGGGGGCAGAGAATATAACTCTAAGGGGAAAGACTTAAAAAAATACAGTCATATATTCCATTTAACTTCTCTTTGCTCTTCTACAAATCCTGCTGTAGCCAATTTTTGGCTAAAATTCTAGTCTGTTGATATTTTTTCAGATGAAAATATTAGCTGAGCACATCTTGAGAATCTGATTGCTCTCTAGATGGTTCATGAGGGACCCCCAAAATTGCCCCAGTGATGTAAGAATAATTGTGTATTTCTTCTAGCTCATTTAGAAAATGAGCAGTGGTGCCAAGTGTCTGGCGTCCAGCATGAAAAATTCTAGAACTGGGTGCACAATAGTCTCCCCCTCACCCACAATAGTGTTTTATGAAACTCAGGCTTTCTATAATAAGTATACAGTAGGCAATTGTACAATGGCACAAAGCAGAAACACACTTCAGTTGCCACATTAAGAAAATTTATGAACATCACACTTTGAATTTCTCCCAAACACAGCAATTCTGAAGGAAAAAAAAGAGATGTATATACGTTAACTCAAATGCAAACAAGGGCCATATGGAGGTCAGGACTATAAAGCTCCAAGAAAAAATCTTTTTCTACCATATCTATTTGCATCAGAAAGTATTGACAAAAGGGGGACAGAATTTTCATAATGCAAGCAGCAATGATGGGGATGAATGATACAAAGGTGAAGGACAATGGCCAATTTTTCTCAGTAAACAGAGGTGGTTAAACTCTTCCTTATATTCCTTAATCTCAACTATTAGATAACAATATTCTCTATGCCTTTTTATATAATACAGATGTTAATTATGTTTTATGTGGCCATCAGGTTCTTTCTATTATTCACTGTTTACTGTAATACCAGA